CCCCCACACCTTCATGCACACACCCCCGCACGTGCATGCACACACCCCTGCACATGCATGCACACCTGCATACACACACTCCTGAACCCGCATACGTGTGCATGCACCCCCCACACCTGCATGCACACACCCCTGCACATGCATGCACACCTGCATACACACACTCCTGAACCCTCATACACGTGCACGCACCCCCCCACACCTGCATGCACACACCCCTGCACGTGCATGCACACCTGCATACACACACTCCTGAACCCGCATACACGTGCACGTACCCCCCCACACCTGCATGCACACCCCTGCACATGCATGCACACCTGCATACACACACTCCTGGACCTGCATACACGTGCACGCACCCCCCCCACACCTGCATGCACACCCCTGCACGTGCATGCACACCTGCATACACACACTCCTGGACCCGCATACACGTGCACGCACCCCCCCACACCTGCATGCACACCCCCACACGTGCATGCACACCCCCACACGTGCATGCACACCCTGAAGCCGCACCACGTCAGGAGGTGGTCCGTGGGTCTCAGACCTCCTGTGCCCTCTGTGGTTCGCACGTGGTAAGGGGAGGCTATCACTTGGACTCCACCCTTGTCCCCTGAGCAAAGTGTGTGATTCTCACTCAGCGTGTTTCCTGGCCTTCTGAGACATTTCACTTCTCTTTTTCTCTTTATCTTCCAAATGTCCGATCTGTTACAAACTCTCCATTTAAATTGGTGTTGGGTTTTACAGACCTTCGCTAGTCCTGCGTGTCATAGCGGTAGGTGCCCTTACGGGGCAGCATGGGGCTCACCCGTCACCTCTCATACCAGCACTAGCAGAATCCAGAGCTCCGAGGACCATCTGCCTGCCCAGGGTCCCCAGCCAGGCAGCGGTGGGGGTGATGGGGTGGTCACACCCCCTCCGTCTGACCCGAGTCCAAGCCTGCACCACCGTGAGGGCAGGGCCGTGCTCACACCACCGTGCGGTTCATCCGGAGGCTGAGGTGGCCTTCCAGGGAGGCAGTCCATTCTGACAAGCACAGTGAGTTACCCGGGTGCTGTTTTGTGTTTTTCCCTCCTTGGAGTGCGGGGCTGGGGACGTGGCTGAAGGGCCTCTGCCCTGCCAGGCCTGCACTTGCCCCACCTTCGCTGAGGCCCCCTGCTGTGGGTAAAGACCCAGAGGGCCTGGTGGTGGGCTTAGGGAAGGCTGCCTGTGTCCGTTTGCATTAACAAATTCACCCAGCAGAGGCTGCTTGCAAAGCAAAGTGTGACCCTTTGTCTCAGACCCCTGAGCCGAGCTGCTTGAAGGCCAGAGGCCCCCTGCCGTGCAGGAGCCCCCAGCCTCAGTCGCCTGGAGATTAAACCTGGCGCCTGTGATTCTTTCCTCTCAAAAGAGCTGTTTCCCCAGCATTCTACCTGCACAGTCTTTAGAATCGGACCAGTATGTGTCAGAGCCTGTGTTGTTAATTTGAAAACTGGGGATACCAATCCCCTCCTTCTTGGATGGAGCAGACCAATATGCCAGTCTCTCTGAAAGCGCCTTTAAAACAGCAGGCAGCAGCTCAGTCTCTGTCCCCATCTGGTCATTTATCATTACCATCATAGAGCAGCATCTTCTGCCAAAAAAAGTCACAGTAATAAAAGCATCCTTTTTTAATCAAGAACAGGAATGTGTTTTTTCAAACCTTTCTATTCTGGAAATGCTCAGATATGCACAGAAGTGGAGAGAAGAGTATACTGGACCCCATGTGTTCCTCTGTCTCCCAGGTCCCTTGTAAGTAGCATCTTCTGCTGTATTTGTATGAGGTCCCTCCAGTATGGAAGGGACCTCTGCTCTTTTTAGCTCTATTGTATTTTGTTTTCCCCACAGAGTAAAGAGAGTTTAGCCACCAATGTTTAAAAATTGGTAGATTTCTCGTAAATGTGTAGGTCCCAGTCTTGTCTAGAAGCATCAGAAGGCAGGGAGCATGAGGCCCTCATTCCTAGGGGTGGGAGGGAGTAGGCGGGGCCAGGCAGCGGCCCTGCTCACCTCCCCACACCATCTGCCTGACCCTACAGGCGTTTGGTTCTGCAAGCCTTATCCTAAACATGCTTCCCCATGAGCCTGGCTTTCATGAGTGGGATGACATCTGTTTTTCTGCCTCTCTCTGGATTTTTAGAAAGCATTCTGTATCCTAGGGTGAATGTACATAAGTTTGAAGTTTCTTTCTTTCTTTCTTTCTTTCTTTTTTTCTTTCTTTCACTCATTCATTCATTTATTTATCTTTAGAGAGCAAGAAGAGCGTGGGGTGCCGGGGGCAGAGTGGGAAGGAGAGAGAGAATCTCTAGCAGACTCCCCACTGAGCACAGAGCCTGATGCGGGGCACAGTCTCACAACCCTGAGATCATAACCTGAGCCCAAATCAAGAGTCAGACGCTTAACTGACTGAGCTACCCAGGTGCCCTCTAAGACTTTTGATAGCTGTTTGATAGATATCACTTCCTGCTTTTACAGGTCAAAAATGGTTGAATATTGACAATCTCATGTAGTTTGGTCTAATAAAAGACATGGTTTAAGTGTTTAAATATGAAATAAGTAGAATGTGTTGTTCTGGGGGGGCAAGACTTGGGGGTGGGGACACTAGCAGGTGTGTAGTTGTGATCCCGTCCAATTAAGGGTACAGTTGAGCAAAAGCCAATATCTGCAGCCTGTGGTTTTAAAATCACCTTGGCCTTCTGTGAGCCTGCTTTTCTTGTTTGTTTGTTTGTTTGATATAATGGCTTTATTGTGATGATTCACATGCCATACAACCCAACCATTACAAGTCTTTGATTCTTAGTACATTCCCAGTTACACAACCATCACCACAGTCAATGTTAGAACATTTTCCTCCCCCCAAAGAGAAGCTCCATACCCATTAGCACTCACTCCCGTTTAACCCCGGTCCCCCAGCCCTAGCAACCGTTAATCTGCTTTCTGCCTCTACGGATCTGCCTGTTCTGGATCTGCCTGTTCTGGACGTTTCTTATAAAGGGAATCCTCAATCTCTGGTCTTTGGGGTCTGGCTTCTTCCACTGAGCATTGTGTTTTCAGGGTTCCTGTGTATCGTAGTGTGTGTTGGTGCTTTGCTCATTTTTGTTGTTGGATAATATTCCACCGTATGGATGGGCCACATTTTCTTCCTCCATTCATCAGTTGATGAGCATGTGGGTCGTGTCCCCTTTTTGGCTATTGTGAGTAACGCTGTTATGAAATCCGTGTACAAGTTTTTGTGTGACCATGAGTTTTCAGTTGCCATGGGTGCGTACCTAGGAGAAGAATCACCAGGCGTATGGTAACTCTCTGTTTAGCCTTTTGAGAAACTCCCGACTGTTTCCAAAGCCGCCACACCGTTTCCATCCCCACCAGTGGTGCGTGAGGGTTCTGGTTTCTCCGTGTTCTCACTGACACTTGCAATCTGACTTTGGATGTGGCCATGCCAGTGGATTTTGTAACACAACCTTCCTGGGGGCATAAGGTACCTGGAGAGGGTAGGAAAAGGATTGTCATTTTGTTAGCGGCCTAGACCATCATCCGCTGTGGTCATTTTCGGAAACTCCTAAGGAAGCCAGGTTCTCGGCATGAGCTTCAGCAATGCCCTGATCACGCACCCCGTACCCTGTGCTGGTTGTGGTCCCCACTGGCGGGTAGTGGGAGGGCTTTGTCTCTTACGACTGGTTTCCAGGGTGGGAAGTAGCCTCACCGTGTCTGACCTGCCACGTGCCCCTTCTCTGTGCAGGCGTCACCATGAAGCTCATGGACGAGGTGGCTGGCATTGTGGCTGCGCGTCACTGCAAGACCAACATAGTCACTGCCTCCGTGGACGCCATTAACTTCCATGACAAGATCAGAAAAGGTAACGGGACTCCGCTGACAGAGATAAGGCGGGTGGCCGTTGGCTCTCTGGCTCCCTTTGCCAGTTTGCTTGTGGTTCACACCCAGTGTCGCCCGCGCCCTGGTGTCTGCCCGTTTGCCAAGAGAAACGGGAAGCCAGTCTTGCGCTTTGTTCTTGTTGATGCATCTGTGAGGCTAGGATTTGTTGGTTTGATTTTTCATCTGGTAAGACCCGTAATTCAGATGTGTTTGGGGCCTTTAGGCTACTGAGGAGCGCCATAAACCCCTCTTAAAATGCCCCATGAACAGACACAGCTCCAGCGACTGGTGCCTCCAGATTTTACACGTTTCCTCTGGGGGAGGAATAGATAATCCATGATGTAAGTAGTGGCAGGATCTGTGCAGAGAAGCCCATGGCCCACAGTCCTCGGCCAGCCCGCCTGCACCATCCATGCAGTGCTGGGGTTTGGTACCTCCCCTGTCCCAGAGACTCGGCAGCCACCCAGGAGAGCAGGCCAGCTCCTCACGTCCAACCCATGTGAGTGCTGAGTCCCGACACATGGTGATTTCTGCATGTGTTGTGTCTTCTGCGGTGGGGTTCTGGGCCCCAGAAGAGTAGTGCTTCGCCGCGGGGTCGGGTGGGTCGGGGCTGCGGGGTCGGGTGGGTCATGGCTGCAGGAGCCTGGTATAGATTCGAGAGCAGCCTCGCTGGGAAAGCCGTCAGGTCGGACCCGTCCCCGGCTGGGAGGGGTGCGACATAGACGCCTCCGAGCACTGCTCTGTCCTGAGCCCCCCAAGGCCGTCCTGAGCCTTGGAGGCCGGGGGCCAGTGCCGCCAGCAAGCTCTCCCCTGCAGAACACACCGGTGGTGAATGCCCAGGTGCGCGGCCAGAAGGGTCCAGGCGTTGGAAGGGTAGGGGGCTGGCTGCCTGCCCGCCCTGGGTCATCGAGAGCAAGTCCAGCATACCCTGGTAGGGTCTGGGTGCTTTTAGGGTAAGGAAATGGTCTGCGGCACCACTCTCTCTGCTTTGCGAAGTCCCTTCGTAACTGAGGGCGTGAGGGGAGTGACCGTCCCCTCCCGACACGTGGTGATCTCTGTGTGTGTTGTGTTGCGTCACTGGGGGTTTTGCCACAGACATGGACATCAGCAACATTTTAGAATTTGTCCACAAGTGGGTCTTGCCGTCTTGGGATTGCCCCCATGGGCCTCGGGTGCATATTATGTGCAGGGGTGGCACGAAAGTTTCGGAAAGGCAGAATCCTGCGCCAGGATTCCCTGCCTCTCTATTTCTAGAACTACTCCCTGGATAAATCCCTGCGATCAGAACTTCATTGTTAAACACAGCTTCGAAATCTGCAGTGGAAAACACACTTAGATTCCATGACCTTGCTCTGTTCTGTGTCTCCCAAGTGCCCTCGGAGAAGCGCCACCTAGGAAAAGAGACTTTCCTGGAGAGCCAGCTGGTTTGCTCAGTGTCATCCGGCTCAGCAGATGTGCTGTGCAGCTCAGGCAAGGCCGTGAACTCTCCTTGGCACACAGGGCCCTTTCTGGGACCCATTTAGCAACGTGGAAGCCATTGGGGCAACCTGTGTATGGAGCTGCCCTTGACGGGCGCTTCCAGTTTCTAAGACGTTCCTCTTATTCCAAAACACAGAGAAAAGGTTCTTCATCTTCAGAAGCCATAGTTCTGGCAGGACGTTCTACTCTGGGTGGGTTTCCTCCAGCAGGCAGAGTGAGGGGTGGGCTGCGAGGTCTACCTGGCTGCACCCTTGGGTGCTGAGCCTACACAGCCCTGGCCTGGAGCCCACACCGCCCAGGGCCCCTCGCCGGTGTCCCAGCCCCGGCCTGGAGCCCGCGCCGCCCCCGGCCCCCGTGTCAGCAGCCCCTGGCGGGCAGAGAGAGGCTTTCTGCTTTCTCGGATCACTTCCTTGTTTTGTGCATAAAGGGATGTGGGCCACACTTGCAGCTAAGGAGTCTGGCCTTTCGGTGCCAGTGTCCCCCAGGCGCTGTTAGACGCTGTCACACCTTATTTGTTGTTTTCCAGAGGAATGTCCCTGTGTGAGGTAGTGGGCTCCCCCGGGCCGTGGCTCTGTTGGAGAGCCGGCACCAATGTCCCGGGTCGGGTCTCAGGCTGGCAGCGTGCTGGCCACACCTGCCTCAGTCACAGAATGGGCCCGTCTTGTCCTCAGTTCCGGAGGCAGAGGTCCCTGCAGCATGGCTCCTTTCCTCCCCCATTCTTTGCTCCTTTCTGGGGACATGCAGTGTGAGGCTGGGGGGACCCTGCCCACTGTGGATTCTTGAGCGCAGGCAGACCTGCTGAGGTCCCGTTAAACCCCAACCTGTGGGTTCTAGTGCGGCCTCCACACTCCTGCCATCCCTGATGCTGCCGCCCGCCAGGAGGCTGGGTGGGACCCCCGCACACTGTGCCACCGTGGGGCAGGGGCAGAGTTGAGTGCTCTGGAGAGTGGTGTTTGTGTCCCAGGGCTGCCCCACAAGGGACCACAGACTGGGGGCTTCAAACAGCGGACCTTTGCTCTCTCACAGGCTGGAGGCCCCAAGTCCCAAATCCAGGTGTGGGCAGGGCCACTCCAGAGGCGCTAGGGGAGCGCCCTTCCTGCCTCTTGCAGCCTCTGGGGGCATTTGCTGGCTCTTGGCCACATCACTCCAACCTCCCTCCACCTTCACGTGGCCTCTCCCTTCTCTTCTTCTGCCTCTTATAAGGACACTTGTCACAGGATTTAGGGCCCACCCGGATAATCCAGGAGGATTTCATCCCGAGAGCCTTAAGTCAGTGGCATCTGCAAAGACCCTTATTCCCAGTAAGGTCACATTTGGAGGTTCTAAATGGACTTACGTTGGGGTGGAGGGCACTGTTCAGCCCACTACACATGCTTTCTCTCCTTACAGCTTGATTCTAGTAGACACTAGCTTCACTTTCTCTTTTGCAAAATTGTGAGGTGGGTAAAATCTCTTCTGTGCACCAAGTTGCCCCTTTGCCCACATGGATGTGAATGTGAGTCCTCCTTTACGAGGGTCAGCGGTAAAGTCAGCACCCAGGCCAGAGAAGGAGTGCCTCTGAGGGGCACAGAGGGGAGGGCCTGCGGTTTTGAGGACAGTCATACACCCAGGGCTGGGGGACCTGCCTCCTGAGAGCAGCCCCACTAGAGCAGGATTGAGAGGCCCCATGCTTCTCCGGCGGGGGGCGAGGGGGCACCGATGAAGGAGCCGTGGCTTTCCTCTGCGCAGCAGGAGACAGGGTCAGCCCCGGCATGCCGAGGGCAGCTCCGAGCTCTGTGCTGCTCATCTGTGAAATGGAATCAGCTCAGGGACTGTTTTCAGGAACATTTTCATGGGAAAGGCACGTGCCGGCGGCTGAGCCGCGGGGCCCCCTGGGGCCGTGGTCACAGGGCAGCAGCTACCCACAGCCAGCGTCCGGCCTCCTCAGACGCACTGCCCCGGAGGGTGCAACCCTAAGAGGCCACCGCTCCTCCCCAAGGGGTGCCCCCCACCCTCTGACGCGGTGGGGAAAAGCCCAGAAATGTAGACCCATCGCCAGCCACACGTGCCCCCTTCCTGTGAGCTCACTGCGGCCGCTCTAATCAGTTACCGCACAACCCGGGCCTTAAAGGTCCCAGGCCCCCTCCCTCATGCTTCTGCAGGCCCGGTCCACGGGGCTGCATTCCTGACGTGGGGCCTGACGGGCTGCTGCAGCAGAGGTGGCCAGCACCGCGGGGTGGGGTGGGTTGATCCAGGACCCCCGCATCGCTCAGGGCAAGCTGGTGACCCTGGAAGACCTGAACGCTTGCCCCGTTGCTGATTGTTTCTCTCTAAGATGAGATGTGAAAACGCCAGGGCAGCTGTTGAGGGCAGTAGAAGTGGCACGTGGTTCCTGTAGCTCTCAGGGTTCAGGAAACCCTGGCAGGAACCCCTAAAGCTGGAGCTGTTGGTGGAGAAGCCGTCTCCCCAGACTGTTTGGGTGGGAAGTGAGGAACCTTCTGGAAAATGCTTTGGGCTGTGTTATGTAAGACACACCGAAGTTACTTCACTACCTCCCTGCTTTTCTGAGGATCGCTCGCTGCCGCTGCTCTTTTTGGAACTTCAACACTGAGCTGTTCTTAACGTTTGAAGTCCTTGGCAGCCCCTCAGCTGTGGTAAGAGCGACTTTTTATTATTCTGTTTGCCCAATCCCGGCAAGCCGTGCTGTCTGCCCTGGGAGGGACGCTCGCTGCTGGGGGTCAGGCGGGCCTCCCCCCCCCACCGCTCCCCGGGGCCCCAGAAAGAGAAGGGAGCTGCGCTTCTCGAGTGTGCGTTAGGCCCCGCTCGAGGGCCATCCGGTTTATCTGCCCCGTGCGGCAGGAAGCCTACTCATCCCCACTTCTCCGGTCTGGAGCCCGCCCGGGCCGCAGGGCCGCACAGCCAGCTCCGGGGCCAGGCCTCTGAGCCCCTCGCTCGGGCGCCCCCTCACTGCCAGGCTTGATCAACACGGGCATCCGCTGCCGCCGGGGCCCGGGCATCACCGTGGCGGGTGACGAGCCTGTACCCTCACTTCAAATGCAGCGCCATTCACCCTTGACCCTTTCGCAGCTGCCAGAGTGGCGGCTGGCCCGCGCAGTCCTGTGAAACCCTCTTCTGGCTTTCTCAAGCCTCTCGAAAACATGGCTATGGCTTCTCGCAGTTGGGGGAGTCCAGCCACAAGGAAGGCACCGCTCTGTCCGTGTCTCTGGCATCGGCCTTGGCCCAGGGCCCTTTTCCCACTAACGTTAGTCAGTCCCGCCTCCAGCTGCACCCTCAGTCTCATCAGCTTTGCCTGGGGGGGGGCCGCTGACCTGTGCCGTCCCCCACACCAGTTGCTGGCCACCCCTGGCTATCTGCATCATAATTAAAGGTAAACAAAATGGCAAATGCTGCTCCTCTGTGGCACGCGCCTCATTTCAAGTGCTCAGTGGCCACACGTGGCTGGCGGCTGTGTATCAGATGGCACAGAGAGAGGACCTTCCCAGCATCACAGAAAGTCTGCTGGGC